TGTAGAATCCTTTTTGAATGTTTTGTGTTTTGGAAAATCCCTCCATGTTTACATATTTTTGCTATGACATGACGGACTTTTTCTGTTGACATTTTTTGTATTTTATTTGATTCCAATTTGAGATTTTATCATTGTATATTGTTATTCTTTCTATATTTTGTACTTATATTGAAGTTTTGTATTTGCTTCTGATCTGTATATATGTTGTTTAAATTTGATCTTTAATATGGCTACAGCCATATTTGGATTGATGCAGTGGCCGCTGGACTTAGCGTCACTTATCTATCACTGTTTCTGATACTCTTCGGAGTAATTGTATCCTGGAAGAGGCATTATTTCCAGGTAATGCTTTGTATTTCCATGTTTTTATTTAAATAAGACGCTTTCTCCTAGAATTTTAGTACGTTTTGATTTGTTAGGACCTGGGACTGGGAGAATCGTACAGGAGTGCACCTATTGGAACCCATTGGAACGGCCACTGTAGAAATCCATTTACACTCGTTGCTGCCTTTTTTCTCTATCTTCTCCCTTCTCAGAACCCTAAATAAAGTGGAACATCCATGGCGCCTCCAGGCAAAATGCAGCTTATGCACGCGCACGTCTAAGTCACAGCTTGTATGAAGCGCTTACAAATTGACCTTTCCCAACAAATTCACTTCTGATCTATGCATAACACCGATGAAACCCACCGTGAACCTTCTCCATTTGTGCTCACTTATTAAAAATGTGGCTGTATCAAACTGTTTCTGTCAATGTCATGGTGTAAATGTACTATCAGAAACAGAATCTTATACTTAATCTAAATGCGATAACTCCTGCACTGATTTTGTTTGGCGGCAGTTGAAGGCTCTTCTCCTGCTTTCTGTTTCTTAAATCTCAAAAAATCCACTTATTTATAATCACGACATTAAATAATGCACGATGAAAGGGTTAAACAGTCAAAATGCAGGCAATTATCTAAACGAATAGTCAGATTTTTTGTCATCAGCCCTTGTGGGTCAAGCGTTTTCATCTATTTTTTATTGCATTAACGTTAAGGTCTTTTCACTGCTCTATGAAAATTCGCTGATAATGAATGACTATTGATTAGACTTTCGTTGCTCAGTATATTCGTCGTAATGTGCGGTTGGGGTCAGTTGTCTGTTAAGGTGTTCTATTGCTGTTGTTGATCTCCTAGGAAGGTACGTTTTGCTCATCCGAGAAAATCCATTTCTTTCCATTCTCGTTTGTCGTAAATTGCTTAGTCGTCTGCTTAATGACTCGACAAGGTCTTTGTCAGTTTCCTCACTGCATTGAAACAAAAACAGATTTAATCATCTTCAATTGGTTATCAAGCTGTGTGTGTGTGAGGATTCTTCACAGTTTGTAATGAATAACGTGCCAAAGGTATTGGATCGATCGACGTTTCATCGTCAAAGGTAACTGGTTATCGCAATGAAAAATGAAGCTGAACAATGTTAAGGAAATTTTATTATGGAATAACAATAATTTGTGTAGTAGATTTGTTCAGCTGAGGTGAAACTAATATATTCCTGAAAACTTGAGCGGAGTCTGTTTGAGTACGAACTTAGATAGTTCTCTAAATTTCACATCATCTACGTGTAGTTTTGCCATGCTTGGATCACAGAATTGTTGTTAGTTCAATATAATGCATCAGTCATCACATTCAGTCTTCTTTATTTTACTGTACATCAATAATTAATTGTGAAATTCAGTCTATTTGTCATGTTTTCCGTGGTGAATGATGATCATATGACATGCTGAAGGAATAACACAAGGGTATGTTACCGCTCATTGTCGTTAAGTCATGTCCCCGCAACAAGTAACTGAAATGCTTCACAGCTAAATATGTAGCCAATAATTCTCACCCTAAGGTACCATAATATAGTTCAGCTGTGAAAGCGTTTAGAAAAAGTAGGTAGAGTGATACACACCTGCTGGAATTTAACGATCTTCGATTTATCGGGAGGTAACCTGTGCGGCCCCGCACCGACTAGCTAACCTGTTGTAGTTATACAATGTCAAGGTCACTTGGGTAATCCAGCCTCACAGTATTGCCGTACTCAGATAGGGTTTCAGTGAAAACATTATTAGTAGGTCTCAGAACGTGAGTACTGCAGGTTTCATTGTTGATTTTACCTTGTAAGCCTGTGTCCCCACCCATACGTTTCCTTCCATTAATTCCCGCAAACGGTAAAAATCGGTCCAATTATGTAAACAATGGTGTATTGACGACACAGCACTTGTTCAGTGAGAAGTGATTTGTTTTACGAATACTCCTGAATCTCAAAAATTATGATTTCGGCAGTTTTGATGATATCCCTCTTCAGAGCATGGGAGCTCTAGTGAACACAATTTCTGAACCACTGACAATACTTCTCCGTATCTGTCAGGTGCAGTAAAAGCTGAGAAGACTCAATAAAAAGCAAACATTTGGTTATTGATTACTAATTATTTGGCGTAACTACTCGAATACCTAGGAGGGAATAACATTCCGAGGTAACAACACAGTTTCATGACAAACTGTTCATGTATGACTAACCTCAGTGCAGTAGAAAACTGCACAGCTGTGAAGGATAGGAATACTCCGGATGTTGCAGTTTCAACAAGTCAAAGTAAAACTTTCATCACCACCCTTCATCCAGGCCTTAGACTAAAACTGAAGGCTTAAGAGTCACTTTGCTGTTTGCAGTTCAAAAATCCAAGTACAAAACCTTTCTGACATGCTTTATGTAGACAAACTGTGATTAAATCTGTCTGAAGTAGTTTTTTCAAGTGATAAATCGCTGAGATTCTCCATGAAATTGAGTAATGTTACCGCCTTATGATAATACGGGAAAACAGATATTGGATCTTAGTAGCAACTTACACTTTGAGGATTACCATAGGCTACTTGGTTTACCTCCGAAGAATGGACTGAACACTAGCTGTCATCTTCGATACCAGCCACTCGCTGCAGTTAAATTTCACTTAGTTATGTCATATAAAGGAAGTGACAAGCGAAAAAGGGTGGAGAATATTAGTTGACAAAACTGTATATGACAAATGAAATATTTTTTAATAGCCTTTGTTATGTTACACTTTTGCCTCATTTTGCGCGCTTTTCGGTTATGTTAAAAATGCAACTCACGCGATACGTGAAAATATGCGAAACCGAGGATGACCAACCGATCGAAGTGCCTCTGGAAGATGACGATACGCTTTTACTGTCAACATTAACCGCCCAGTTTCCAGATTGCACGGGTCTGAAGTACAGGTCTGGCGACTCAGGATGCTATCGCGGTGTTCGTCTTTTGGATGACCGTTTATTTCCTCCCACTGATGGACACTGGCACGAAAACACTTTTTGTTGTGTATTTCCAAAATGTAAGTCACTGATAATTAAATCTTTTGAACCCTATCGATATACATGAGACTGCTAATAACTGACACTTCCCTGACCCAACATTAGCTTAGGATTTTAACTAGTTGGGTTAAATTATCGTATTAGTTTTTTGGTCAGAGAACTGCATGTGATATTCACCGCACTGTATTTGCATTTTTGGAAGGTTGACCCTTTCGTTATTGTTAACGTATACGTATGCTGTTCATCGACTGAACTAAACTTGCACCTTGAAAAACTACCTAGAAATAAGTACCTAACACTACCGTGCTACTCCCTCTTGCTTTAGACTACCTAGTCTTAGTCTTGCAGGAAGACTTTATTGATTTGCCATTCAGATTGCTTGTGGCTGAAGGCCAGTTAAACTGTTTCTTAGAGTCTTGTTAATCGGTCCAATCTCGTGCATTTATAGTTTAGCTCAAAATCAAGGTGTAGTGAGGTAGTTCCAAATATATTGTCCGATGAAACCGCCTTACTGCTTCCGTAACCTGCAATTAGCAGTATACATATGTCCTCGGACCTTCAGTTTCAGCCTTAAGTCTTACCGTTCTCCAACCGACATCTTTGTGTATTAAGACCTAAAGGATAATGTGTTTCTGCCAATATAACCCGTTTTAGTCATCACGATAGACAAGCGCGACTATCACGTCGATGGAGCGGCTTCGGCTAATAATTCATCAACCATTATGTATGGTTGAAGTCGTAAACATATTATTAATTATTCGAACTAGTGCTTGACAAGATTGATTTGAATCATTACTGGGAGTTTGAGATACTTAAACAATTGTTTGAAGTCCGAATTTATCGAGGTAATGTATAACCCTGGTATAAGTTATCCATACGTTCGTAATGTCCTATATGGTTAAAAATCTTAATTTAATCGCAGAAATATCAATTACCAAGAATTCTGCAATAACCTTTGATGTTTATACCCCTCAACGCTCAAGTGGTTTGATCTTTATCTAAACACATTAAGTAAACTTCAGGACATTCTTTGGTTATCAATATGTACACATGATAAAAACAGTACTAGTGCCTTAATATGGGTTTGGGAATTTAATCGGTATAAATAAACATATTTGTATGCTATTTTATTGCTTGAGATATGATGATACTATTGCACATTATGGTTCTGAATCCTTTTTTCAAGGTTCCAAGAGGAAAGCAGATGAGGATTCGTTAGATTCTAAAATGAAGCAAAAACGTTTTGATAAAAAGACGTGTACAGATCTGATAGTGTTAAACTTGCCTTGGCGAGCCGATGAAGATACTTTACGTGACTATTTTAGTCAGTACGGCGACATTGTGATGATCCAGGTGAGTTTTTTTTCCATAAGGAGCATTCCTTGTAAACTGTCCATTAGATCTCAGATCTTCATACAGACTAAGGAAAGAGAAACCTCATAACTCTTTACATTAAAAACCAACAGAAAGTTGGCACTTTCCACCAAAACCTGGCGGCTGCAGATTAAGTAGTTTATTCCTAATAAGGAATACCATTTGACCATTCATGTTAGTTCAGTAACGTTGCATGTATGACTCTAAATGTAATCTTAATCTAATGCATAGTTTTAAAACTATGAAAGCATCAAACCACTTGAGGATTTTAAAATGCTGGGCATTAGTATTCTGTGTATTTATTCCAGAATTACCCTACCAAGTAAGGAAATGTATACCGTATACGATTTACCTTATGAATTACATTACTTAGAAAGGATTTATCCATACAGTTTTTTAACAGTGGTGACTTGGTGCTTAAGACTCAGCGAATAAATCGCGTGCTAAATTCTTATCACATGGTTGTTTATTGCCTGTGACTACGTGCTGGAACAGTTATTGCTATGATATGTTTACAGTAATGATTATTCAAGTTGTTCTTTGCCTAGCCAGTTCTCAAGCTTTGTGACATAATTTGACTACCGTTATTCTTACTACTTACACAACGCCGGTTAGCAGATAAAATAACTACATTTGGTATAACTTCACGGTTTTTTTTTAACTTATCATGGATTATAAGGCTGTGTAGGTAAGAAATAATTGCTAGTAAAGATGACTTGATGACAAGTCACTTTCGAAACTTCACACAATCTATTCTAGATACTGTTTGCAAAATCTTGATGATGTTATATAACCACATGGTTCAAATTAATTTTAATTCTTGGCTGATGGGCATAGTTTTCGAAAGCTGAGTGGGATTTTCCCTCCTTAACAGTTTTTATTCTAAAACTGTCTACTACCTGAGCTTAGTTAGTCATAGCCGTTGGGAACGTAGATAGCCTGTAAATAGTTTTGTTGACACTGAGACGTAACGACTAGCAGTAGGTTCCGACCGTAGCTCTTATTTTTAACTTATTTATCCTTCACAAAAGTCCCAGTTGTTATCACCAAGTCGAAAGGCAATAAAGTTCGTAGTAAAAACAAATTAACAAACGACATCTTTCAAATCTCATTGCTGTTTTAAAACTAAAAGCTACAGATTGACTGACTAGCATTCTGATGAAAGAACATTGAGCACTTTCATTGTACTAGTCAGCTTATGTTTCAGATATCCCAGTCATTGGTAAAATGATTATTTATTATAAAACCTGATTATTTATTACAGATCAAAAGAGACCCAGTAACTCTGAGTTACTGGGTCTCTTTTGATCTGTAATAAATAATCAGGTTTATAATAAATAATAATTTTACTAATGACTGAAATATCTGAAACATAAGCTGACTAGTACAATGAAAGTGCTCAATGTTCTTTCATCAGAATGCTAGTCAGTCAATCTGTAGCTTTTAGTTTTAAAACAGCGAAGAGATTTGAAAGATGTCGTTTGTAATTTGTTTTACTACGAACTTTACTGCCTTTCGACTTGGGATAACAACTGGGACTTTTGTGAAGGATAAATAAGTTAAAAATAAGACCTACGGTCGGAACCTACTGCTAGTCGTTTACGTCTCAGTGTCAACAAACTATTTTACAGGCTACCTACGTTCCGAACGGCTATGACTAACTAAGCTCAGGTAGTAGACAGTTTTAGAATAAAAACTGTTAAGGAGGGAAAATCCCACTCAGCTTTCGAAAACTATGTCCATCAGCCAAAAATTAAAATTAATTTGAACCATGCGGTTATATAACTTCATCAAGATTTTGCAAACGGTATCTAGAATAGATTGTGTGAAGTTTCGAAAGTGACTTGTCATCAAGTCATCTTTACTAGCAATTATTTCTTACCTGCACAACCTTCTAATCCATGATAAGTTAAACAAAAAACGAAGTTATACCAATGAAATGTAGTTATATTATCTGCTACCGGCGTTGTGTAAGTAGTAGAATAACGGTAGTCAAATTATGTTACGAAGCTTGAGAACCGGCTGGGCAAAGAACAACTTGAATAATCATTACTGTAAACATATCACAGCAATAACTGTTCCAGCACGTAGTCACAGGCAATAAACAACCATGTGGTAAGAAGTTAGCACGCGATTTATTTGCTGAGTCTTAAGCACCAAGTCACCACTGTTAAAAAAACTATGGATAAATCCTTTCTAAGTAATGTAATTCATAAATTAAATCGCATACGGTATACATTTCCTTACTTGGTAGGGTAATTCTGGAATAAATACACAGAATACTAATGCCCAGCATTTTAAAATCCTCAAGTGGTTTGATGCTTTCATAGTTTTAAACTATGCATCAGATTACATTTAGAGTCATACATGCAACCTTTACTGAACTAACATGAATGGTCGGATGGTATTCCTTATCAGGAATAAACTACTTAATCTGCAACCGCGAGGTTTTGATTGGAAGTGCCAACTTTCTGTTGGTTTTTAATGTAAAGAGCTATGAGGTTTCTCTTTCCTTAGTCTGTATGAAGATCTGAGATTTAATGGACAGTTTGCAAGGAATGCTCACCTGGATCATTACAAGGTCGCCGTACTGACTAAAATAGTCACGTAAAGTATCTTCATCGGCTCGCCAAGGCAAGTTTAACACTATCAGATCTGTACACGTCTTTTTATCAAAACGTTTTTGCTTCATTTTAGAATCTAACGAATCCTCATCTGCTTTCCTCTTGGAACCTTGAAAAAAGGATTCAGAATCATAATGTGCAATAGTATCATATCTCAAGTAATAAAATATCTTAGCATACAAATATGTTTATTTATACCGGTTAAATTCCCAAACCCATATTAAGGCACAAGTACTGTTTTTATCATGTGTACATATTGATAACCAAAGAATGTCCTGAAGTTTACTTAATGTGTGTTTAGATAAAGATCAAACCACTTGAGCGTTGAGGGGTATAAACATCAAAGGTTATTGCAGAATTCTGAGTAATTGATATTCCTGCGATTAAATTAAGATTTTTAACCATGTAGGACATTACGAACGTATGGATAACTTATACCAGGATTATCCATTACGTCGATAAATTCGGACTTCAAACAATTGTTTAAGTATCTCAAACTCCCAGTAATGATTTCAAATCAATCTTGTCAAGCACTAGTTCGTAATTAATTTAAATAATATGTTTACGACTTCAACCATACATAATGTTTGATGAAATTATTAGCCGAAGCCGCTCCATCGACGTGATGAGTCGCGCTTGTCTATCGTGATGACTAAAAACGGGTTATATTGGCAGAAACACATTATCCTTTAGGTCTTAATACCAAGATGTCGGTTGGAGAACGGTAAGACTTAAGGCTGAAACTGGAAGGTCCGAGGACATATGTATACTGCTAATTGCAGGTTACGGAGCAGTAAGGCGGTTTCATCGGACAATATATTTGGAACTACCTCACTACACCTTGATTTTGAGCTAAACTATAAATGCACGAGATTGGACCGTATTAACAAGACTCTAAGAACAGTTTAACATGGCCTTTCAGCCACAAGCAATCTGAATGGCAAATCAATAAAGTCTTCCTGCAAGACTAAGACTAGGTAGTCTAAAGCAAGAGGGAGTAGCACGGTAGTGTAGGTACTTATTTCTAGGTAGTTTTTCAAGGTGCAAGTTTAGTTCAGTCGATGAACAGCATACGTATACGTTAACAATAACGAAAGGGTCAACCTTCCAAAAATGCAAATACAGTGCGGTGAAGTATCACATGCAGTTCTCTGACCAAAAAACTAATACGATAATTTAACCCAACTAGTTAAAATCCTAAGCTAAATGTTGGGTCAGGGAAGTGTCAGTTATAGCAGTCTCATGTATTATCGATAGGGGTTCAAAAGATTTAATTATCAGTGACCTTACATTTTGGAAATACACAACAAAAAGTGTTTTCGTGCCAGTGTCCATCAGTGGGAGGAAATAAACGGTCATCCAAAAGACGAACACCGCGATAGCATCCTGAGTCGCCAGAAACCTGTACTTCAGACCCGTGCAATCTGGAAACTGGGCGGTTAATGTTGACAGTAAAAGCGTAAATCGTCATCTTCCAGAGGCACTTCGATCGGTTGGTCCATCCTCCGGTTTCGCATATTTTCACGTATCGCGTGAGTTGCATTTTAACATAACCGAAAAAGCGCGCAAAATGAGGCAAAAGTGTAACATAACAAAGGCTATTAAAAAATATTTCATTTGTCATATACAGTTTTGTCACTAATATTCTCCACCCTTTTTCGCTTGTCACTTCCTTTATATGACATACTAAGTGAAATTTAATTGCAGCGAGTGCTGGTATCGAAGATGACAGCTAGTGTTCAGTCCATTCTTCGGAGGTAAACCAAGTAGCCTATGGTAATCCTCAAGTGTAAGTTGCTACTAAGATCCAATATAGTTGTTTTCCCGTATTATCATAAGGCGTGTAACATTACTCAATTTCATGGAGAATCTCAGCGATTTATCACTTGAAAAAACTACTTCAGACAGATTTAATCACAGTTTGTCTACATAAAGCATGTCAGTAAGGTTTTGTACTTGGATTTTTGAACTGCAAACAGCAAAGTGACTCTTAAGCCTTCAGTTTTAGTCTAAGGCCTGATGAAGGGTTGGTGAGAAAGTTTTACTTTGACTTGGTGAAACTGCAACATCCGGAGTATTCCTATCTTTCACAGCTGTGCAGTTTTCTACTGCACTGAGGTTAGTCATACATGAACAGTTTGTCATGAAACTGTGTTGTTACCTCGGAATGTTATTCCCTCCTAGGTATTCGAGTAGTTACGCCAAATAAATAGTAATCAATAACCAAATGTTTGCTTCATTTTATTGAGTCTTCTCAGCTTTTACTGCACCTGACAGATACGGAGCAGTATTGTCAGTGGTTCAGAAATTATGTTCACTAAAGCTCCCATGCTCTGGAGAGGGATATCATCAAAACTGCCGAAATCATAATTTTTGAGATTCAGGAGTATTTCGTAAAACAAAATCCACTTCTCACTGAACAAATG